TTGTGGGGGGGGGGAGTTTTTGCCATAGGGGACGTGCGCTCGCCAGACAAACAGAGAGAGACAGAGAGACAAAAAGCGAGAAATCACCCCCTGGGGGGATGGCCACGCCACAATCCCTTCTCCTCCATTCTCCTCCCAGGATCTTTGGCATGCACGCATACGCGCCCCGTGTGAGTTTTAAGCCACTGGGTCTGGGACTTGAACCGCGGTCGACTGCATGGGAGTTCAGCGACATAGCCCTTACGCTAACCTGGTCCCTATTTTTTAAAATTTTGACCAGAGAGGAACAGAGTGAGAAAGAGAAAGAGAGTGAATGTGAGCAAGTAAGCCACCTAGTCTGAGACTTGAACCACGGTCAGCCATGTGAGAGTCTAGCACCTTAACCACCATGCTACCTGCTAGCCCCTATTGATTGAATGATTGAGAGGTTTTTCTGTAGGGCTCATGCACTCGCCAGAAAGACAGAGAGAGACAGAGAGACAGAAAGCAAGAAATCACACCCCAGGGACAATGGCCACGCTGCAATCCCTTCTCCATTCTCCTCTCGGAATCTTACACATGTACACACACACGCCTGGCGTGAGTTTAAGCCACCAGGTCCAGGACTCGAACTGCGGTAGACTACATGGGAGTCCAGGGACATAGCCATTACGCCAACTGCTGGTCCCGCCCCTCTTTTTTATTAAATTCTAGCATCCAATAGGTTTAAAATTTGCTATGATTTTCCTTTTTTAGAAAAGTAAGGATAGCACATTATTATTTTTTGGGAGGGTTTTTTAAAAAGTTGATTTGCTTCCTTCATTCGTCAGCAAGAGAGAGACAGAAGAGCAGCACCCACAACAAGGTCCTGCTGCCACAGTCCATCACCAGCTTCAGCCAGCCCTGGATCACAGGCATTTGCTTGCCTGGCATACTCAGAGGTTTTCAGATGTGAACTGGGAAACTTCCCATGTGGGTCAGCCTCGGCCTTTCAGGGCATTGTGTTTTATTTCTGCACCACCACACAGTGGTTTTTAATATAGAAGTAATACAATCAATAAATGTGAGTTCTCAGCCATACGCATATTTTAAGCATCTAGATTCTTAAATTTGATAACTCATTAAGCCAACCTAAGAGATACAATTAAGAATGAAAAGAAAGAATCTTAGGAAAAGTGAATTCTCATAGCCCTTTTTTGCAGCTCAGGAGCAGTGAAACTTAATTCAGTTTAGTGTGAGGTAAACAATTTTTTGCCAACCCCAGGGGCTCAGTTGTCTGTACTCCGGTTTTCTGCATGGCAGTAAAAGTAGCTGAACTAACTCCGTTATCAAATAGAGGCAGTAAGTGAAGCATTAGAGCAAAGGTTTGAGATGGAAGAACTAGACAGTGAAAGCTAGGACTCTTTCATTGTTGCTATGGAATTTTTCCTTTTTTTAATGGCTGGTAATGGAGTTACGCATCACTTAATGATAGGAACATATTCTGAGAAATGTGTCAGACGTGTTCTCAGTGCAGACATCATAGTTTGTTCTTACGTAAACCTAGATGTTACAGCCTACAACATATCTAGACGACATGGTGTAGCCTATTGCTGACTTTGGGCCACAAGCCTATACAGCATTTTCTTGTTTTGAGTACTGTAGACAATTATAACCCAGTGGTAAGTATTTGTATATGTAAACATAGAAAAGGTACAGTAAAAATGCAGCATAAAAGATAAAAAAAAAATACACCTGTATAGGATGCATACCTTGCATAGGGCTTGTAGGACTGGATGTAGCAAAGGCTATGACATCACTAGGCAGTGGGAATTTATAACCTTATGGGACTGCTCTTATGAGACAAGTGGTCTGTTTTTGAACAGGATGTCATTAGGTAATGCATGATTATGTACATACATTAACTAAAACAAGTTATATAAAATATCCTTGCTAGCAATAACACACTGATATTTACTATTCTGTTTCCTTTTTTAAAATCTATTCCTGATGGTGTGTGCATGTGTGTACCTGAGGGAAAGACAAAGCTGAGCACCATACCGAGACTGGTCCTGCCACAGTCCCCCTTCCCCAGTGTCCCAACCGGTCGGATCCCAGGCACTTGTATATATGCCTGGTATGTTTCAGGCTAGCCAGGCTGGGGGTTCAAACTATGGATCTGGCTTCTCCTGAGTAGTGTTTTACCTGTGTGCTATGGAGCCAGCCCCTGTTTTTCTTTTTAACTGCTGATCAAGACTGGTACATTGATTTCATCCCTAATGAGACACACCATAGTTTTAGAAATACTGACGAATTGAAATTAGGTTCATCTAATGTTTAACATTCCTTCTGTGTCATGTCAACATTCATATCAGTACATAACTTCCTTAAAATCATCTAGCAGTGTTTCTAGTTTATATGTAATTTTCTTTTGGCTGTTTGAGATAACCTCTGTAAGTTGTTGAGGCCACTTTACTCTGTGCATTGTCACGTGTGAAGCCTGCGTCCGGTGTAACGTGTTAGTGGAAAAGAGTGGCAGAAGGCACTCTGGTTTTTCGAGCAGTCTCAGAGTGCGCATGTGGACTTGGTGCTGCATCGTTCTGAAGCACTCTTGCTTTTTGGTGGCATTTAGTCTTGCTTCTGCTTCGGAGGCCTTGAATTCATGAGTAGAGGGATGGGCAACATTTCTGAAAGCATTTCCTGAAATTGATATCATGTGGTTGTACCCCATTTTTAATCTCATTTTTAAGGGAATTTATAAAATTGAAGAGTTAAAATACTGTACTTTTTTTGTGGTGTAGATCAAATAGTGACACCTTATGTTTTGTCTTTCATAAAAGACAAACTTCTTTCATAGCAAGTTTGCTATTAAAAAGAAAAAATATCCTTCACGTACCATTTTATAATTGCATATACCTCCGTGGGATGGCACCTGACAGAGCGTTTGTGCATTTTCTCTTTTAGTTCTCATAGTAACTGATGGACATCTACAGGGAATGTTTGTGTCATCTTGTTTGCCATAGGAAACAAAGGTTTGAGGATCAAACTGAAATCTGTCTTTTATTTAACCTTCCAGGAGTGATGAGTCCCTAAGTTGGATTTATTCAGAATCATTCAATGATTTTTGTTATTTTGTGATTCACTAATTTATTATTGGCTTGCTACTCTCAAAATATTTTGTTTAGGATTAGTAGGGCCTTGAGATCAACTATTCTAAGTTTCTTTGGTTTGTTTTGCAATCTTCCAGGCCCTGGCCTATTTCGAGCAGTTGAAGATTTCCCCAGATGCCTGGCAGGTGTGTGCAGAAGCTCTAGCCCAGAGGACATACAGGTAATAAAACAAGAGAAGCATGACTTGTAGAGGAACTTAAATGTCTATTTTCCTGTGTTATGAACTATTTGCCTGCTGAAAACTAATACTATATAGTCATTCAATATTGTAATAAAAAAAAAACAAAACAGTAAACCAATGATTCGGCCATTTCAGAATTGATTTTTCAGTGAAACTCTACTTTGCTTTATCTGCAGTCATGTCCCTGACTGCAGATCCCAACTGGAATAGAGTGCAGTAAAAAAGTTATCATCTTATGATTAGAGGTAATCATTGGTTTTCTGAAAAGTTGGTAAAGAAAGTGCTTATTAATGATACACATATTTTTTTAGAATTATTTAATTTTATTCATTGTAATTATTTTATATTTTGAATTTGACCAGAGAGAAGGAAAGTGAAAAGGCAAGCTGTCAGGTCTGGGACTTGAATCGCAGTCCACCATGTGGGAGTTCACTGCTTTAATTAACCACCATGCCACCTGCTGTCCCCAGATACATACATATATACCTTAACTTATTTTTTTTAATAATTATTTTATTTTATATTATTTATTCTTTTTTTTTTTTTTTAGTTTGACAAGAGAGAAACAGAGGGTGAGAGTGAGACAGGAAGTGAGAACGCAAGCCACCAGATTCAAGACTTGAACCCTGGTTGGCCATGTGAGGGTGTCCAGGGCCTTAACCACCATGCCACCTGCTGGTCCTATATATACCTTAACTTTTAATTTTAACTTAAAGCACATGAACATTCTTGGTACCAGTCTTTTTTATTTTAGACCAAGGTTTTGTTTTTATGTGTATATCAGTAGCATTCACCTCATTCTTAAATTGATCACACCCATAATCCATCCTCTATAACTTCCAATTTAGGTTTCTGTGGATTAGGGACAATAGTACAGATTTTTAAATTGTTTTTAGATATTTCTCCCCATTTAACAAAGCTTCTGGCTTTGTTTTTGTTTTTGTTTTTATTTTTACTTTCAAACACGACTTTCTATGAATTCTTTCTAAAGCATTTAACTTAATTTTTACAAAAATAGGAACTATCTTACTGTACTCATTTCATCAGTTTATACAGTAGTAATTAAGTTACTTTCTTAGAAAAGAAGTACAGTTGGCTTAGTGAGGCTTGGGGAAAACACAACTGACTTAGCAATAAACCAGCAGCTCACTGGTGGAAGCAGAAGTACCTGGGACTAGTGATGGCCTCTGGGGGGATTTTCAGAATGCCACGTGGCTCAGTCTGTGTTTTGTTTTGAGGAATTATTTATTTTATTTATTCACTCATTTATTTTCATTTCACCAGACACACATACGCACACACACAAACACCCACATGGGGAGAGAGGAAGTGAGAAGGCAAGCCACTGGGTTTGGGACTCAAACAAACCATGGTCTGCTATGTGGGAGTGTCCAGTGCCTTAACCACCACTCCACCTGCTGGTCAGTCTGTTTGTTTTATAGTTGAAACCAAGTGCTTCAGTTTAGTGGAAGTTGATTTCAGAAACATCTATCTACTTCATGTCTCAGAGTAAATAGGAATTGATTTTTAAAGTCTTCATATAGTTGTTTTTTTTTTTAGTGGGAAATCTCAATCTTGAAAAACTCAGTTAAGTTCCCAGTGTCATCCATAATAAGAATAAAAATCCTAAAGTCTTTTGGGACCAGCAGTTGGTGTAATGGCTATGTCGCTGGACTCCCATGTAGTCAACAGCAGTTCTACAGTTAAGCCCAGTGGCTTAAACTCACACCAGGTGCATGTACGTGCATGCCCAAGATCCCGAGAGGAGAATGGAGGAGAAGGGATTGTGACGTAACCATCCCCCCGAGGGGTGATTTCTCTCTTTCTGTCTCTCTGTTTCTCTCTGTCTTTCTGGTGAGTGCATGTGTCCTATAGCCCAAAAAA